GAGGTCCCTTCCAGCCCTAATGTCTATGAAATCTATGTAGCATCTCATGTAGATACTTCCATAGACTGCTTTGTGCATGTCCTTTCACAGCCTCTGATGAAGTCAGTTTAGGCTCAAAAAAGCTTGCACATATCTGATTTAATTAGTCTATAAAGGGGCATTTTTACCCAGCATTTTTTTTTTAGTCCGAAATAATTTCTGTTTGGAAAGCATGCAGTTCAATTGAAACTATTCACATTGACTACTTCTAGCATTACCTTGCACATAGGCAAAAAACACAGCTAACACTTTCTCTACAGCAGTAATGAATCATGAAATCAGTATGACTAATATGCCACAGGGATTAAAAGTACAGCATCTGTCATTCTTTTTTTCTTAAGTAATTATTAGTTAAAACCAGCATGAGAAAATAGTGGTGTAAGCATCAACAGAAACAATGCTCTTCAGGTACACTCCTTTACTATTGCTTCATGCAGAGGGAGAAAACAATCCAAGCCAAACATTAATATTTTAAATGGACACATTCCATTTTGTTTAAAGATTATCTTAGGAAAAATAATAAAAGTGTGACCATTTCTCAGTTATTAAAAAGAAATAAAACTTATAACTTTAATAGCCAGCAAAATATATTTTACTTGTTAGTAATTCAGTATATGATCTGCACAATTAGTGATGGTACAAAGTTCCAGTGTTTGAATACTCAGCCATTTCTGACTAAGCCTAGAAGTGGTTAAACTGGTTTTCCTCCCCTAAGCAGCATGCATGCTTCTTAATCAGTACCAACTGTAATACATAGTCTACACATGCAATTAACACAACTGAATATACTCTGGCTCAAACTGAGCCACAGTAAACTAATCCCAATATCACTGCCTACATGTGTATTTAATGGCAGCAATTTACTACACTGCTAGATACCACTTGTATCTGACAGCACTAATTACAATGCACATACAGACTGTGATGCTTTATTGTGCAGCAAATTACTCTGCTGCACAGTAAAGTGTCTTGTGTAGACAAGCCCAGTAGGTGCATCTACATGTTCATTAATGTGCAGTGGTTACTGCACATTAAATTCAGTACGTGTATAATCTAATACTAAATGCACAGTAATCAGAGTTACCATGCAGTAATGCCGGCACACACCATTTTAGTGACACTACTGTGCAGTAGCCTAATAATACAGCACAGTAGCATGTTAGCACTGTTTGAGCTATTGTGCTACTGTGCCATAGTATTAGGCTACTGCACAGTTAGCATCTCATGTAGACACGCCCAGTGTGTATTACAGTAACGACTGATACCAAGATCCCTGATGAGGTGTCACCTATACTCTCAGTTGTGATGCCCAAAAATGCATGATTTGGGGAAAAAGAGCACCACTTACCTGTGGTGAATTCACCACCCTCACAACTACATAAAGCATCTGGGTTTCCATTAGAGATCTCACCTGTGTAAACACTGGTCTTAATCCTGCTTAATTTAGCAGCTCTGATGAAAATGACATTCTGTCCTCAGGTAGTATTACAGTAAAATGTGCCCAGGTGTTTGGATAATGGTGTGCCTGAATTAGAAATAACTGTACAATACCTTTATAACTTCATCTGGTTCACTTCCTTCGTCCACAACGATTAACTGAGACCTTCCATTCCTTTCATTGTCCCGAATGCCAACAGCCACTTGATTAGCTTTCAGGCGCTCATACTTATTGCATGTTGAACCACACCACTGGAAAATTTTCTAGGAAAAAAAAATGAATACAGATGTTTCAGCCATTCAGATCAACACTGGACAGACTCATTAGTTTGAAAGCGTTTTTAACCCAATGCACACATTTCAAATCAGGCACATTTCAAATCAGGATAGCATCTTTGATTTCAATGAAGTTACATTGATTTACAACAGCTAAGAATTGTTTCAAAGAGTATTTCCATGTTACTTGGAACAGCAATGTAACTGTAACATCTAAGGTATAGCAATTCACACATCAGGAGACGGATGAACTTCAGAGTTTGTGTTTGGTTGTGTTCTTTGGGTACCTGAGACTCATCTAAACAATATGGCCCTCTTAAGTTTATTCTTGGGAGATTCTTGTCCAGTTCCGTCATGAAATTTCTGGCACTTCATTTTACAATTAGGAAGGTGTTAAAATTAGAGCCTCTCTTATATGACTTTGACATAGTTCTAGTTCTGATCCCAGCCGGAAAGCAAAACAAAAACAACATCACTCAAACATTTTAGAGCATTTAGAAAGGTTCTTCCCATATACTCAGGTATGAAGGAAGGTCCTTCAAATTATTTAACCAATTCCTAATTTAGGGACTTTTCATTCTAGAAAGTCATATGCATGTACATCCACTCTTGTTCTGACACATTTTTAAAATTAGGACCACAGAAAGTGAACACCAATTGAGCATTGCTATATATTCACTCATAACAAATGTTTTCTTAACTGGAGGATTTTCTCAATATGAACCCGATCCAAAACCCATGAAAGCTCACTAACTAAGGCTCAGGATTTGGGTAAGCTCTTCCATAGATACTGTTATCACCAGGAATCTTTCAAATGACAGCCTCACGATAAAGTTTGTTTAGAACAGGTAAAGTGTTTGGCAAATCTAACCATCAGACTTGAATGCAGATTGTGTTTCAGAGAAAGAATACAGATTTCAGTCCTTGCAGACCTTAATGGAAAACTTGGCAGAGCAGGACACGATTAATAGATTGTAAGGGGCTGGAAGGGAATTTGCAAGATCATCGGGTGCAGCCCTCATGCACTAGGCAGGAAAGACAGCTGGGGTCAGGTGATCCCAGCAAGGTGATCGTCCAGTCCCCTCTTGAAGATTTCCACAGTAGGTGATTGCACCACCTCTGGGGGTAGTTTATTCTACAGTCTAGACACCCTAGCTGCTTTTCCTAGAGTTAATCCTGAAGTGGACTTCCAGGAATTTGTGGCCATTACTCCTGGTTTTACCCCAGGGTGCCCTGGTGAACAGTTGTTCACTGAGTTCTCAATGTATTCCCCTGATGTAGCAGTAAACTGCTACCCAGTTGCCTCTTAGCCTTCTCTTTTTTAGATGGAAGAGGCCCAAGTCCCCCAGT